TTTTTTTAACGCGTATATTTTGCTTTCTATGTTTTCAGTATGTGTGTGAAAAATGATCAAATGATCAAGTCGCTTTTAACTTTTTTATAATTTTACAACAATAAAATTATCAGTTCATTAACAGTGTTAAATAAATATCTAAACGTTTGTAAAATTGTGATAATTATTTGAACGTTTACAAAGAGCCTTGGTCTGATCTTCTTTGAATAAGCGTCGGCAAAGAGCTTCTTTTACGCTTTTGCGGGCTTTCCAATCTGGAAGCATAGCACCGAGTTCACTAGCATAGTCACGTAATTGAGATGGGTTGGATTCGGCGGACAAGTTATATTTTTCTAGGAACAGGTTCAAAATCGAGGTAAAGTTATTAGTTCTGGAGTTTCTGCTTTTTCGAGTAATTGCCATGGCCATATTGATAATACATATATCGATAAGTAGATTGTGATTATCTATTAACCTACTTATTCTTTCAAATCAAAAATTAATTATCCAAATGAGTATATCCAGAATATATACGTAGATTCATACTTTTAGCAATAAAATTTATTACTTTTGATTATATTATTTTAATTTTAGCATCTGTAATTAAAACTAAATATTTTTCTGAAAAATTTCAATAAAAAAAAATGAAGCAAAATATTTTTTTCTAAATCAACAATTTTTAAAATTTACTCCCATAATAACGTGATAGTCAAAGATTGAACACATATTGATGTTCAGTAATATGAAATTGCCCTTTTCTAGGGGCATAGATTTCATAAACCCGGCCAACATCCGGAATTCCAGGGGCATGCCTAGACCAATTGTTGATGACGAGCACTCCAATCGTGTTGACTAATGCTTGATTTGATGGGAGTGCTGGAGTATTTACGAAGGAAAACGAACATTCTGATGGAATGCCTGTCGGAGGGAATTGTAAATAACCTGGTTGCCCTCGAATCACTAATCAAAAAAAAAATTTTAGAAAGAATCTTCAAAAAATAATCAATAATGTAATATTTATGGTTATAGATATACAATTAACTAAAGCCATTTTTGTGTGTCGAGGATCAGCAAGTCTTCTGCTATTTAAACCTGCATCGTTCCATTCAATTAAAAGCAATGGGTCCTCATAATATAAATCATCGTCATCGTAATTATTATCATTCTTGTATTTTGCTCGTACCATTTTTGCCCATTGATGGATAATTTTTTTAGAATCTTCATTAAGGTTTTCTATAGGGTCATCTGTCAAGACAAACAAACAAATCATATTGTAGTCCTAAAATGACAAAGGTTGTAATAAAAGAAATGCTTGCAAATAATCTCACCTGTAGAAGAGGACTTCTTAGCAAATTTTTTTACTAATTTCTTTAAAGCGTGAGTTGACATTCTAGATAACTTGTTTTAAAAATGATATAAATTTTTGAAATAGGTGGGAAATATATTGATATGGTTCATTATATATTAAATTTCAACAACCCCCATTTTTACTGAAAAAGCCAATTGATTGATTGGTTGCCAATTTTATGTTAATTCCACAAAATAGTCTAATTACATCATTGCGGATTTGCAAACCAGGATGCTTTGCATCTAGTTCGGGCATAGCCCTCACAATCGGTATTACGTGCCTCAGCCTCGGGTGATGAAAGCAATCAAAGGGCCAAAGAAAGCCGAAAACATCATCGAAAGGAAACAAATATCAAGCCAATTAGGCACCAAAACGAGTACCCGAAAATAATTAGGTAACAGTCTAATCATAAGTAGGTAACAGTCTAATCATAAGTAGGTAACAGTCTAACGTAAGTAGGTCGCAATATATATATATTGCGACCTACTAAACCCATATTTATTTATATGTTTATCAAATTCGTGATTTTAATTGGTCAATCAACAAATGGCATGGGTTAAAATTTTGTGTTCCCAGAACAGTCTCCTGTTAAAATACTTGACTGAAAAAAAAAAATAACAAAAAAAATAATATTAAAAAAAAATATATTTTACATGGATTTTTTTAAAACTGATGTTTGTAGATGGAAATGTGAGGATGTTATAAAATACTAAAAAGAAAATAATATACAATATAATCTTAAACAAGTGCTTGGTCATGTAAAAAAAGATCTCAAATGAATTGCAAATAATGATCCTGACATGACACACAAGGAAAAAGCACAATCTATACTTAACAACTGGAAAGTATGCTTACAAGAAATATTAAGAATGAAGACTGAAAAAAAAAAAAAGGGAGAAGAGGTTAGAGTATGGTTAAGCTGTAACACTCTTAGCTGCACAGTTATGAACTCTTAGTTCATGCCTACTCTTTCTTAGCAGAAGCTATGCAACTCTTAGTTGCTTGGTTATGAACCCTTAGTTCCTGCAAAGCTGTACAACTCTTAGTTGTTCAGTTATGAACTCTTAGTTCAAGAATCTTCTCTCAAATTCAACACTGATATAATAATAGTGCATCTAATTTTATTCTGAGAACTATGTTAATTCTATTTTTTTTCCTAGGAATGGACCAAAAATGTAAAGGAGTATAATAAGATGCAAGACCTGATTAATGATTGTAATATTCTAATGGTAATTATCTCTAAATCTGTATGTAACAAAGTATATAGAATTGTGGAAATAAATTTGTTTACTTCCTTTTTTCCTCTTTTATAGGCAGAGCAACATAACAAAGTCATAAAAACAGCAATTGTGCAAGATCAAATCGTATGTGCCACTCTTACCAGACAACTAGAGAATTTTGATGATGAGCATCCAAAAAAACGCTCAGTATTTTATTTCTATAATTCATTAATATTAAAAAAAAAAAGGTCTCAGTTTTTGCTTCCATATCTAAATCTTATTCTTTATGTGTAGTATGTAGAACTACATTTGATTACTGAACCTTGAACTCCTCCATGCATAGAAGTTGCAGATTCGGGTGATGAAAATTCAAATGATGAAACAGAGATAAATTCTTATTGTGATGTTAATGATGACTATGATGATGAGTTTGAAGTTGGAATTGAAGTAGGTCCAAGCATTGCACCTATTGAGTTCAGGTCAGAGAATATGACATCTGTATTAGCATATCCCACCAAGGATAGTCCAATGGACATTTGGCTATTGCCTTCAGGAAAGTCTGTTGCTGAAGTGACTTGTGGTCCTTCTACTCTTCACAAACCTCAGTAAGTTCTATATCTTTATTTTCTTTTATCCTTCCTTTCATCCCCTTCCTTTCAATCTAACTTATGCGTTTTATTTACATATAGCCCATCATATATAGGAATCATACTTGGATCAAGGATTCAATGGCCAAAGTGGATTGAAAATGAAGATTGGATATATCTACAAGAAAGCATCGAATACCCCAAAGATCCTCTAGGTTCAGACATGGAAAAGCTTTTCAACAACCTGTTAGAAACTGTAATTGTCTAAAAAAGTTCTTGGTAATGCAATATTATATATTTGACTCTCATTATTAGCTAATTACAGGACTCCCTGACAGAGTACTTGGAATGCCTCCATAATACAAAATTTGACATAAAAAATAAACAAATGTTATTTGCTACAAATATACTTCAGTGGTTGTAAGTATTTTTTTGTGCAGGGAATGGGAGTGTTATTATTATTCCTGTTATTAATTTTATTTAATTTTAAAGTGCAGATGTAGTATTTAATCCCTCCAGTGCATTCCATAGTCCTTGTGAACAAAAGTCAATTTTAGGCTCTCTTTTGGTGCATCCTGTTTTAAAATACATCTCCAATACATGTGATCACAATGTAGTTTACATACCATATGTTTTCAGATTTTAGTGTCAAATAGAGTTTTTTTCTCATAATAATGAAAAATATTGCTTTTAAACAATAGTGGTGAATTTTATCCAAGCCAGTGCAAATCAATGATTAGTTTGATGTGATCTTAAGCCTGAAGATAATAAACCATTAGGATTAAAAATAGATGGAGTTTTTCAAACTGTTAATGATAACCCACTTGAAATTGGAATGATAGAATTATCTGGCAGATATAACACACATGATTTTCCTCAATATTTGAAAGATCATGTTCACGGATGTTGGGGTCAGCATGACCTTCTCAATAATATAGCAATGATGCTTTTATATGGCAATTATAAGAACATGAGGCATTTGCGTACATGGTTTTTTCATACACATGGTAAGTAAAATGTTGCCTGTACTTTTGAGTTTTGATTTCTTAATATTAATTAAACCAAGTATTTTTCACTTACCAATAGGAAAAGATGTTCAAATTTGGGGAATGGACTTACCTGTCAAGAAAATTTACTGCATGTTTCTCCTTGGTACTTTTCAGCTTCCAATCAGTTGGGAGAGTCACCATGAACTTTTGTGTGCGTTGCTGATCTTATGGAATTTTGGAGTAAGTAAAAATTTTTTATTGTTCTTTTTCTCCTGAAGATCTCTTTTTTTTTTTGCACATAGAGAGGCTTAAATGACAGTGTTAATGTACTTGAGGAATTAAAGAAAACACACCATCGCAATTCACTTTTGCATTCTCAAGCTTCAGCATTGAAAAGATATATTCGCCATATTAAACATTCCCTCAAAAACCCACTGGCAAAAAGCATGTAGTATCAATCCAATGGAGTATGAGAAACATGTGGATTCACCTTTGCCAAGTTAGAGTGATAGAATAATATAAATACTTTGAATTTGCAAAGAAACGAATCTTAAAATATATATTGAAAAAAAATAAAATTTTATTAAGCTTATGATTATACTTACACCCTGTAAAAAAAACTAATCATGATTTAAAATTCCATGGTTTCTCCTCTGGAATTATAATTCAAATCATGAATTATTTTTTAATAGGAGCATTGATGATGCTACCTGCTTTTTTAATTCTTTCTTTATATATAAACTTCTTAATATTGATTTTGATTGAAGAATGGCATCTGATCGGGTGTAGTGTCAATTGATGTTGATTAATTGTGTAAATAAGTTTGATTCAACATCAATCGGGTATTAAGTTAGCATAAAAAAGGAAATCTGATACAATGATTCATCATCTTTTTTTAGTTTAGGAGTGATGATTGTTTACAATTGCTGGCCAATTGCATTCTTTTTTTAAGAAAAACCAATTTTTGGTATTCTCAAGTTCAAACAATCAATAAAGAACCTCTTCTATGGAGAGGTTCTCCTTTTGTTGAAGAAAAGATGATATGAAAAATTTTTGATTTTTTGGGAACCATTTTTTTTTTTTTTTTTGTAAAATATCAAGTTCTTTTATCTATTCCATATTTCATCTCTCTGCTATTAAAAACAGTCTTAGAAACATAACTATAGAAATAACTTTATTTAGATAAACTTTGATTTTATCTGAGGATAATTGTAGAAATAGAAAGCATTTGCAGAAATTGCAGACAATTGTGGAAAATATTTGCAGACATTGCAGACATTTAAGACTGTTGCAACATCAAGAGTTGCAGCATTTTTAATCCTTTTTTCATATAAGCTTCCAGTGCCTGAGTATCATTTATTTTGAAAATGTAAGGGGCAATTTTTTCA